GTTTATTCATTCTGATGTATACTGTGTCGGCTGAAGTTAGCTTAAAATGCATGTGTAGTAAGGTTTCAATGTATCGAGCCAGTATGAAGTAAGCCAGTCGCACATTAAATCGTCAACCAATACAATCGAATTGTATAATATTGTGACGCCAGTAAGAGTAACGCCATTTATCGCCGAATAGTCGAACGAATATCGAAGGATCTAGTACCACCTAGAACGCTCGAGAAGTACAACGCCATCTATGGTGGTGGGAGGGTGGTAGGACGTCTTGTGAGTCCGCACTGGTAGGTATCACCACCCCGCCTATTACTGCCGTGAAGCAGTAATGCGTTCCGGCTTGAAGGCCCGGGCAGCCGTCGTAACTATACTTGAGACCTTAGAACTTATTTCACAAGGTGGGTGGCGCATTTACGTTGTAGATGTCTATGGCTCCAGTAACCACTTAACACCAGGTGGGCCGTGAGCTCGTCCACCCATATAAGCAAAAAAAAAACCTATGAATATGTAGTTTTTGCTAAGAAACACAGTCTATTTATAGTCTCGCGTGTGTGCGTTCGTATCTCGGTCGTTGAACCGATAGCGAATCCAGACCGGATAAGCTAAAACCCATCTTAAATCGTCACGAGCAAAGCGGTTTATCGTATACCCACACAGTTTTACATAATACGTTTTGTGAATGCGTAATGCTTAAGAAATAACTGCATGTGCTCACGCCTCTCGTACGAGTTCACGGCTCGATCGTTTTTAAGTTGTCATCATAGTCGATACCAATTTTATTGTATCCCAAACAAAACATATATAGCGGTTTTGTACCAGAAATAAGCCGTGGCGTGAAGCAATAATGCGGTTTGAAGGGTGGGGCAGCCGTTGTAACTATACTGAGACCTTAGAACTTATATATCTCATAGTGGGTGGCGGCATTTACGTTGTGGATGTCTAATCTCCGGTAACCATTTAACACCAGGTGGGCTTTGAGTTCGTCCATTATCTATGCAATTAAAATAAAAAGTAAAATGTGCAGCGGACAATAGTGGCGTACAATGTGCGGCCACGCGTGAGCCGGTCGCTCGGGTCGGAGCCGCTAATGAAGGAAATTGTTTTAGCAAACTGACCAGCCTTAACGTGTCGGCTCCGGGCGTGGGCGGCACGCCGCAACGGACACTGAACTGACGGCATAAATTATAATAACATACAGTTATATGTACTAGTTCTTTTATTGCTTAGATGGGTGGACGAACTCACGCCGACCTGATGTTAAATGGTTATCGAAGCCCATAGACAGTTCGACACCAGAATCCTCTCTTTGTGGCCGCCGGGAACTACAGAGTATTAAGCGGTAGGCAGCGGCTTGGCTCTGCCCCTGGCATTGCTGAAGTCCATGGGCGACGGTAACCACTCACTATCAGGTGGGCCGTATGCCCGTCTGCCTACAAAGGCAATAAAAAAAAAACAGCCGATCCTGCGGACCAAATGGTAAACAGTCGACGTCGCCCAAAACACGTCATTTCAGATCCTCCCGATCCACTAACGGTGCTTTTAGGTACCTCAAGCACCGGTCACCGTGCTCGCCGAACCCGTCGCTCGCGACGAAAGCGCTTGGCGAGTAAATTAACCCTCAGACACAGCCCACTGAGTTTCTCGCCGGATCTTCTCAGTGGGTCGCGTTTCCGATCCGGTGGTAGATTCTGCGAAGCACGGCTCTTGCTAGGGCCAGTGTTAGCAACGTCGTCAGGTTCGAGCCCCGTGAGCTCACCTACTAGCTCGGTGAATCTAGAATAGCCCCTCGAGGTTACTAGAATAGGTAGGAAAAAAAATTAGACATCACGTAAATGCCATCCACCTTCAGATATGAGTTCTAAGGTCTCAGTATAGTTAAAACGGCTGCCGACCGAAACGCAAACCGAAACGCATTACTGCTTCACGGCAGAAATAGGCAGAGTGGTGGTAGCTACCCGTGCGGACTCACACGTCTTACCACTCGTAAAAAAACCAGTGTGGATACCGTAAGAGAAGCGCGCCAGAGATTGTTAAGAATTGTCCATATATTTGATGCAACAGTCGATTACATTTTGCAATTCAAAATGGGAGCAATTGAAAAATGATTCAATGAAAAAATTATAAAATCCTTATTAACACAATTTCACAATAGGTGATAAAACTCTAAAGTACGTACACGATGAAGTAATAACATCGTGTAATGAAAAATCAGACCCGCATTCAGATATAATCTCCTTAATAACTATAACTAGAGGTCCCGCAGTAGTCGAAATTAGACTATAATTAATAGGAATTGTAAGTTTGTACACTATTATGATTGTATTTATACTTCTATAATCACATATTTCGCCAAGGCTACACTATAAAAAATATTAACAAAGACAAACAATATTTAATCTATTGTCAATTTGACCACAGACGTCAAGAACAAAGGTTTGACAATAAATAGTATGCATGCGTGTGTGCGTCAAATACATGGTATGTAGTGTGTGTAATGTTTTCTTTATTGATTTAATTTATGTTTTCTGCATTATTTAAAAAAAATATTAGCATTGTGCACTTCTTCTCTATATTCTCTATAAGCGTGGAAAATTTCATACTCCTCCGTCCGAGCAATTTTCGTAAAAAGGGATACAAAGTTTTTGCTTCACGTATTAATATATAGATAATATTTTAGTCACTAGACAGTCAAAAATGTATATCTAATATAACACATAAATTTGCAGCGGATAGCTAGCATAGAATAGAAGACATGTGACTGATGCGTTAAGCTCATTAAAGACATTTTCAAAGTATGTTTGCATATATACAAGTTCCGAACAATAACATTTGGACTTGATTCGCGAAGCAGTTGCCCTTGAGTTGTTAGGTCTTCTGAGCGCTGAGGTAGCTGTTAACAAATCCCATCCCTCCTACCTGAGCTTATGCTCGTCCACCTGTACTGGTAACACTAGAAAGGGCCACAATATTTCGGCTGCCGGTCCAAATATCACCCGTTCGGTGGAAGATTTCCCCTTTGTCGTTACATTTATTTATTTATCGCTTAGATGGGTGGACGAGCTCACAGCCCACCTGGTGTTAAGTGATTACTGGAGCGCATAGACATGTACGACGTAAATGCGCCACCCTCTTTGAGATATAAGTTCCTTACTCAAGTATACTTACAACGGCTGCCCCACCCTTCAAACCGAAACGCGTTACTGCTTCACGGCAGAAATAGGCAGAGTGGTGGTACCTACCCACGCGGACTCACAAGAGACTTTACCACCAGTAAACATCCCAAACCGGTGCCCTACGTTGGACCAACAGCCTTCGCACTGCATTGTCAGCGCGTCAAGAACTTCAACCACCACAGACCCCGCAGTCTCGCAGTTAACAAGTCATCAACTTCAGCTTCATCGCAGCCGAATCACTGCGGTTCTCGGTCCTTCTTCTTCTTCTCCATCGCTCCCTCATTGCTGAGGATCGTGACTCCGTTTTAGCTTGTCGACTATCAGCCTCCATCGGTTCCGGTCAGTCCTATATAATACCTAATTAATTCTGATCAAAGTTGCTTTGGTAACCAGTCTGACGTCACGTTCGCGCGAGACCTTCAGCGGCCGGGTCGTGTCTAATCGAGGAAGAACATGTTGCTAACCTTTCCAAATTGCTCAATTCACATCATTAATTTGTAATAAGTGCGCAATATAAAAAATGTTAATTCGTTTGTGGTGCGGCCTTGTCGCAACCTCGCTTGCTTGTCAAATTCCGCTTAGTTCTGGCCCTTGTGAGAAGGACTGTGTTTTTTTTCCCTACCTAAGCTGGTAGCCTTGAGAGGCTATTCCAGCGTAACCTTAACTAGTAGGTGAGCTCACGGGGCTCAAACCGGAGAATTGCTAACACCGCCCTAGCAAGAGCAGTGCTTCGCAGAATCTACCGCCGGATCGGAAACGCGACCCACTGAGAAGATCCGGCGAGAAATTCAGTGGGCTGTGTCTGAGGGTTAATTTACTCGTCGAGCCCTTCGTCGCAAGCGACGGGTTTGACGAGAACGGTGACCGGTGCTTGAAGTACCTAAAAGCACCGTTAGTGGATCGGGAGGATCCGAAATGACGTAAGGACTGTGTGGCTGTGTGGTGTCGACATGGAAATGTTGTAAACGCGCCTGAGAGGATCTCTAGAGAATTGACAACTGCGTTTTCAGAGTATAATTCAGGGTATTAAGTCCCGTCTGGGCGTAATTCAAATAGCCCTTAAGGCTACCAGCGAATGTTTAGGGAAAAAAGACATTAGGATCGTCAACTGCTGTTTTCTGGCGGTAGGATCCAGCGAATGGGTAGGGAAAGATAGCCATTAGGATCGTCAACTCTCGTTTTTTAGTGCTAGTACTAATAGGTATATACCACAACTGCCGCAATCACGCGTTCTGGCTTAAATGGTAGGAAATCACACAACGCAGCTGAAATTTCGTTTTCTTTGTGATGTCAATAGTCTTTAGTAAACATTCAACACCGGCTCAGCTTTGAGGTCGCTTATTTACTAGTAGAGACCTCAAAGCCCCCTAATGCAGCATCCGATTTGTCACGTTTATGGACTGATCAAGTTGAAGCCTTTGTGAAGTTCGTATTGTCGCCGATTGTGGCGCGTTTTAGACACAATTAAAACTCTATACTTTTACAGCTTAATTTCGGATGGTGGTACCTACCCGTGCGGACTCACAAGACGTTCTATCACCAGTACTTAATTACGCAAATTATAATTTTGCAGGTTTGATTTCTATTACACGGTGTTATTCCTTCACCGTGGAAGTCATTCGTGAACTATTTGTTAAGTACGTATTTCATTAGAAAAATTAGTACCCGCCTGCGGGATTCAATGTTCGGTGGATCGCTACTTATGAATGCACCGAACGTCTTATCCTTTAGGTCACGACGACTTCTGAACTCAAATAAGCACATACATAGCTCTTGATACTGCTTCGCTTTGAATGTGACTGTATAATATTTGGTTTCGTTTGTTCCCAGAGCGCGACATCTCAATCGAAGCACGCCGCTAGGTTCCTGCGTCTCGCTATGGCTTCCATCATGGACATATTGAAGATCAAGCCTTTTGTCGAGGTGTCCGTCGGTCAGCTGCTCTGGGGCTATGAAGATCCGCTCCTGAAGTTGGCCAAGGACGTCGTGCCCAAGGAGCAGAAGTTGCCTTACGAGGAATTCGGACTTTTTTATGGCGTAAGTACTCTTTCTTTACTCTGGTATAGGATGGAGACGATCGGAAGCAGAATTAGATATTACTTGTACCTTTAATATGTCTATAATTCAATGAATACTTTAAAAGATGTTCACAAACATATCAGGTCATTTCATTTATAGACATTATTGATGGATTGACGTTCAAACTTCGCTAACACAGGATACGGTTTAGATTCACAACAGAAATATATTATCCGGAATCCGAACCTGCGTGGCGTGTTTATCATTGTTTTTTTTATTGCCTTTGTATGCAGACGAGCATACGGCCTCACATGTTGGTGAGTGGCTACCGTCGCCCATGGACGTCAGCAATGCCAGGGGCAGAGCCAATCCGCTGCCTGCTGTTTAAAAATGTTGATTATAAATGATGGTTCTGTTTAAAACGAGCACAGAAGAACGGCACCTCTCCGGACGTGGTGACGATGTTCACTGGCGCTACGGACATGACCCGCTACGGCATCGTGGACCGCTACAACATGAGGGACCGGCTGCCCCACTGGACCACGGACCAGTGCAACAGCGTCGCCGGCTCCGACGGGTCCATCTTCCCGCCGCACATCACCGCGAACGACACGCTCCGGGTCTACGACAAGGACCTCTGCCGATTGCTTCCGCTGAGGTACGTTTCTGTGAGACTTCTCCCCTCTTTTTAATACGCTTTTATTAGCTTCAGACGTATGTATGTTAGTATGTAACGGAATCTTTGAAGATGATCTTGACCGCCTTCAAAACGTCGGATTAACTCGAAATTTGGTATACTTATTAAGGACCGATGAAAAATCAATATTAAAAAAAATGAAAAAAATATTGAAAAAATTGAAATTCAACTAAAAAATTGAAAATAAATTTAGATAAATTTGAATTAAAAATAGTGTAAGAAAAAATTATTTTATGTAAAAAAGCGTGGGGTGCATGTAAGTAGTAAGTGGTGCAAGTAGAAGGGTTGTTTTGATAATATCCTGAAAAGCACCCCACGCTTTTTTACAATAAAATCATTTTTTCTTACGCGAGTTTTAATTCAAATTTATTTAAAAAATATATATTTTTAGTTGGATTTTCTATAAAAGTGTATTTTGTTAGTTTTTTTAAACTATTATTAAGTTGTAGTGAAACTTCTTTAGGCGCGTTGAGAGGAAAATTTAACTCGCGACAGATCCGTTACGGCTAGAGAGAAAAGATACAATTTAGGACGTGCGAGAGTGAGAAAATAGACAAAGCGTCTCGCGAACCATCGACCGTGGAGAGAGTGACAACGCGAGCTAGGTCATTTCTCTCATACACAGCATTCGCTTTTACAAGAGAAATTTGATTTAAGGATGAAAAATGAAGAATACTACACACCGCGAAAGAAGTTTCACTTCTTTCACGTGCACCAAGTTGAACGTATCACTTTTTTTTTTGATTAAGGGATCACTGGGGGCCCAGAGGCCTTTCCAGTTTCCCCAGGTCAGGTGGGCGAGCAAGGGCTCAGCCAGAAGGGATGAAAAGTTTTCCACCCACCTATGTGTCGTGTTAACAATGGAAGCTTTTTAGGTTAATTTCTAATATTTCGATGTATTGTGCTGTTAATTTTCGCTCAATACTCGTGCGGACAGATGCGATTGTGACCTTCAAACCTAGTTATCTAAAGGGTGATTTTTTAGCTATTTTCTTTTTGGCAACACTGATTTGAAAGCTAACGCATGTTTCGTGTTTTGTGTTATTGTCAAACATCTTCAGTTTGGTATATAATTTAACCATGAATCGTCTTACAAACGAACAACGCTTACAATTCATTAAATTTTATTACCAAATGCGTGCTCTGTTAAGAAAGTTCATCTCGCGTGGTTCTTCCATTTTATGGTCAGTTTAATCGACCCACTGAAGCGGCTATTCGGGCTATTGTGACTAAATTTCGCATCAAATTTACATTGTTGGACATTAAACCACCATCACGCTTACGTACAGTGCGAACTGAAGAAAATACCGCAGCTGTATCGGCCAGTGTTAGCGATGACCATCAATTATCGATTCGACGACGTTCGCAGCAATTGGGCCTCTGTTACTCAACAACGTTACTCAACAACAACAACTGGTGGTAGGACCTCTTGTGAGTCCGCACGGGTAGGTACCACTATCTCGCCTATTTCTGCCGTGAAGCGATAATGCGTTTCGGTTTGAAGGGTGGGGCAGCCGTTGTAACTATAATTGAGACTTTAGAACTTATATCTCAAGGTGGGTGGCGCATTTACGTTGTAGATGTCTATGGGCTCCAGTAACCACTTAACATCAGGTGGGCTGTGAGCTCGTCCACTCATCTTAGCAATAAAAAAAAAAAAAAAAAAAAAAATGGTGAAAGGATTTAGGTGTGAAGCCTTTCAAAATACAGCTGGTGTAAGAATTGAAGCCGAAAGACCTACCACAACGCAGAATTTTTGGTGAATGGGCTCTTGAAAAGTTGACGGAAGATCCACTTTTTTATTTCACGTTTGGAACCGGTCAATTGGTCGCCTAGATCGGGCGATTTAACGCCTTTAGACTATTTTTTGTGGGGCTATGATAAGGCTCATGTCTATGCTGACAAGCTCGCTTCGATCAACGCATGGGAAGACAACATTGAAGCATTTATTCGTGAGATACCAGCCGAAATGTTGGAAAGAGTATGCCAAAAATGGACTAAGCGGATGGACCGTTTGAGGCGCAGCCGTGGTCAACATTTTCATGAAATAATCTTCAAACATTAAATTATACGAACCGTACTATCGATTCAAATAAAGATTTCATGATTTTTTCTAAATTTTATGTGTTTTTTTTTTAAATCATTTCCTATAGCTATTAAAAAATCACCCTTTACTAATCGTTCTTAAGGAATACGTACAAAGTATAATTGAGCGTAACACACCATTATTGGCAATAATGAATCATGATTTATAGCTTAGTTTATTCTACATTGATACCCATTTGTTAAATTAGTAACATGAAACCGTTATTCTACCATATTTGATATTTAGTAGACACTGTTTTGATGTGAAAAAATGTTGTGTTTAATTTATTGCTTAAAAACACAAATTACCGTTAAAATACTCAAATATTAATAAGCTAAAAAAATTTAAGTAAATTCTGTTACAATTAAAATTAATACTTTGAATAATTATCGTAATTGGAAATGCAAATCATTTTGTTGGCGCCATTTTTTCATCCGCCTGGATAATGATAATGTTTGTTTATATCAGTTTAAAGTAGGTAATTTATGTAAAATAATTTACTCAGGAGTCATGTGAAACTGACTAAAATATTTATTCTGAATATTCAAGCTACATTTCATGAATTGTTTCGCGTTAAATTCATTTGTTTATATAAAAGAAGTTGTACTTAGTTGCTAGAACTATTACAAAAATGCTAATTGTTTAAAAATTAAGATAGCGGTTTTTGTAGTATTCACGCAATATTAACGTTGCATAGAATTGTGTTGTATTTTCGTTGTAATGACTTTTACGTGTGAAAATCCTCTTGTATCGCCGAAATAAATACATATAGTCGTCGTGGCCTAAAGGATAAGACGTCCGGTGCATTCGTGTCGAGCGATGTACCGGTGTTCGAGTCCGGAAGGCGGGTACCAATTTTCCTAATGAAATACGTACTTAACAAACGTTCACGATCGACTTCCACGGTGAAGGAATAACATCGTGTAATTAAAATCGAACCTGCAAAATTATAATTTGTGTAATCACTGGTGGTAGGACGTCTTGTGAGTCCGCGCGGGTAGGTACCACCGCCCTGCCTATTTCTACCGTGAAGCAGTAATGCGTTTCGGTTAGAAGGGTGGGGTAGCCGTTGTAGATGTCTATGGACTCTGGTAAACACTTAACACCAGCTGGACCGTGAGGTCATTCACCCATCTAAGATTGAATTCAGACATTGACCAGCGCTAATCACTGACATGAGATGCATCACGACGCAGTTTATTAAAATGTTGTGGAACTTACAATTTCCGTGGTGTAACATAACGTTTCGACTACCTACGTATGTTGAATTTGCTTTGTAGTTCATATTGCGCAATCGTTCGCGACGGTGTGAACAATCGTTATTACTAAAAGAAAATCTTATGATTGTTTGCGCAGCGTCCGTATGTTACACCGTGTTGTAAATCATAATGAACGAACATAAATTTTATTTTGAAGTTCGGAAGTATTTTCGGATTCACGGAACGTTCGCGATTCGATCTGGTATTAAACATAAAAAAATTACTACTTCTAACATTGTATGTGGTAGTCTGTGGTCCTTAATAATACGGACATCATAATTATATTTACAATTAAATCCCGCATTTATTATTGTCATTGCTTACGACGTATCGAATATTTAACTAAAAAATACATTTAAAAAAACTCGCGAAAATCGAAGAAAACACTGTGACAATTCTATGCTTTCAACGAGATAGTAAAAACGTGTGGCGGTGGCCATCACAGAACACATGACATTTGACAGATGCATGAATCTCGCTTACGACATTATCAAGATAAGCTTGCATAATAATATATACAAGTTCCGAACAACAACATTTGGACCGTCGGTCTACCGAGCAATATTACCCGCTTGGTGGAAGATCTTCCCTTTCGTCGTATACCTACAAACTGTTGACTCCGTCGTGATTTGAACACGCAACGCAAAAGTAAACGCAAAATTATGAGTAGCTATGAGTAGCTATGAGTAGTTATTAGTAGTAGTAATATATTATAGTATTATGAGTATAGAAATTCTACTGAAGTACAAATTAACACACTTTTTCTCACAAGTCAAGTATTTTCGATATGCGTTTCCGCCATTTGCTATTCGACGATAGATGGCGTTGCTCTTACCGGCGTAACAATATATTGCGAGTCTCTTTTGAAAATTGCTTACGTCATTTTGGATCTTCCCGATTTATTGTCGGTCCTTTTGGGCGATCTAAGCACCGGTCCAAGCCTCGTCGAAGTCATTGATTATGACGAGCGAACTAACTAACCCATAGACAGAGCTCACTGAGTTTCTAGCCGGAACTTCTTATGGTTCGCGATTGTAGATTTAGCGAAGGACTGCTACACATTTAGTAAAGCTATACCATAGGCCCATAATGAGAAGATAGGAAAAAAAAATTCATTTTTTGGTCCATTATTTTGTTTTCATTGGGAAAGGATTCGTTATCGGTGGAAGTCCAATATTAGGCTTCGTAGTACTACATAAAACAACGGTTATTTTAATGGTTCGCTGCGATTTTTATTCGAACTTGCCCCTTAAATAGGATTACTTTACGGTGTGAATGTAAATCGTGTGGATAACTCAAATGACTAAGTGTCTTTATTGTTTCGCTTGGCAATTGTTTGTTCACACGTTCACTTTTCAATTCGCCATCTATCTTGGCGGTTTCCTGCTAATACCGATCAGAATTTTTCTAATGGCGAGGGGTCTGATGAGCCAGCATGGGCTCATGATCTGTTCAAGCTAGATTAACTTATAAGGAACTGGGAAAGGATCATATTTTATTTATAGAGTACCGTAAAGTGGCTTATAAAGCGACGTATCCACTGCCATTGAGTGTTTTTCCGTAAACGCGTGCAGTAAAATTTCGGTTATTCCCATATTTGCGTAATTAATGGTGGTAGGACCTCTTGTGAGTCCGCACTGGTAGATGCCACCACCCTGCCTATTTCTGCCGTGAAGCTGTAATGCGTTTCGGTTGGAAGGATCGGACAGCCGTCGTACTGTAAAACTGAGGCTTATGTCTCGAGGTACCTTGTTCACATTCTAAGCAATGACACAATTAAAGCTAGTGGCGCCAGAAAATAGTCTTATAGTTGGGACCGATGACCAGCGGTGAGGGAACTTACGCCTTAATATAAGAACGATTATTCAATTCCAGGTATCTCGAAACGGTGGAATCTTCAGCCGGAGTCGAAGGCTATAGGTTCACTCCTCCTGAGGATGTCTTCGCTAACGACGAGCACAACAAGTGCTTCTGTCCTGCCGGTCCCCCCTGCGCCCCCGACGGACTCTTCAACGTCTCCCTCTGCCAATACGGTGAGCAGATTCTTTCAGCTTTGTGCTGATGACGAGCTCTACAAACAGTCCTATGCAACTATAGGTGACTCCTTTCAGATTCTCCCATAATGCTATCGTTCCCTCACTTCTACTTGGCGGACCCGAGCCTGCGGGAGGCAGTCGAGGGCATCTCACCACCAGTAGCAGAGAAGCACAGACTGTACATCGACGTGCAGCCCGTAAGCTTGAATTTGGTTTTTGTAAAAGCTTCATTAATGTAATTCATAATTGAGGCAGTCAGTGCAAAAGTGTCCTAAGCTTATCATAGTTACTATGGAAATAATGAGGTTGTAATTTACTTTTACACTGCTTCATAGGCATAAACAATACTCGCAAAAACAATGTTTACAAATCTATCTGTTCTCTAAGGGTGAGACTAGGCATAGGCCGGTTTTGCATCAAAATTTATTATGTTTTAAATAAATTGCAATTATATGAGCGCGAATATGAAAAATTGTGGGTTAGGCCACTTGTGCACTGACGGTCTCAATTTAGCCTAATGCAAATTGTTATGGGTTCAAACCGGTCGGTCGATTGGTCCACCAATTTATACCGCAACGCGAATCCAAATGGTTTTATAGCAAATGGTTTTTTTTATTGCTTAGTTGGGTGGACGACCTCACAGCCCACCTGGTATTAAGTGGTTACTGGAGCCCATAGAGATCTACAACGTAAATGCACCACCCATCTTGAGGTATAAGTTTTAGGTCCCAGTATAGTTACAACGGCTGCTCTACCCTTCAAACCGAAACGCATTACTGCTTCACGGCAGAAACAGGCAGGGTGGTGGTACCTAGCCGTGCGAACTCATAAGACGTCCTGCCACCAGTAAGAGTCCAGTGTGTGCTGCGTTATTCACACAATGTGCTTGCTAAGCACGAGGTCTAGATCACAACTAACCTGTCAAAGTTACGCTTACGTGGGCCAGACTGGTCAAGATCCGAGGGATTCTGATTCCAAGGGCGCGGAGGATTACCGCTGTAAGCGCACTCGTGAAATTTGAGCTTCTGATAACTTCTCTCAGAATGTCCACTGTGCACTACCACATCCCAAATATATTGCAATAATATGTACCATAATCTGTTCCCGGAAAGAAAAACAGACGCTGAATCCTAATATATCTTAACCAAAAACTAGTCTCCTATTATCATACGTGTTCTGTTTCCAGGAGATGGGTATAGCAATGCGCGCTCGAGCTAGGATCCAGATTAACCTGGCCGTCTCCCAGGTCTTGGACATCAAGCAGGTGGCCAACTTCCCAGATATCGTCTTCCCCATATTGTGGTTCGAAGAGGTACGATTTGACGTCAATATGGTTCTGTGATTCGGTATCTTAGAGCGCATTTTAAGGCGGCGCGGGTATTTTTTTTATGAACGCTGAAATGGATGAACTCACAATCTACCTGGTAAAACAAGGTAAAAATGCCCAGAGCCGCTATCCTATCCTTCAAATCAGAAATGGTGATGCTCTGAGGAATTGTTTGAGCTGATCCCCCCATCATCTCGTTTTTACCCTGGCACCGCCCGCCACCGGAGTAGAGTTCATCCATACTACCTGGAGCCACTGCGTTCATTCACAGTGCGTTTCCAGAGACCTTTTTTGCCACGTACCATCTGGCTATGGAATGAGCTCCTCTCCACGGTGTTTCCCGAGCGCTATGACATGTCCTTCTTCAAACGAGGCTTGTGGAGAGTATTATCTAAATCTAATTGCTTCAGGTTTCTATAATCCTTTCTATATATGTTTTGTACAATTCAAACAGACCTCAAGTCTCAAGACGCGTGACGACATTCACATCTAATCACTATGTTTATAAATGAACATCGTTTCTGCAAAGATATACGAACTGGTTGGCGTGGTTGTTAGATCTGAAAGCGGGGGCACACGATGCGTTCCGGCGCCGCACCGCCAGGATTTCAACGTACCGGCGGGCACATGACCGTTCTGACCGCTCTTGTGCCCGCCGGTACGTTCTGAATGTCGCCGCTTGTGTCGGGTGTCGCAGTGGGTGAGGTCGCGCGTTGTCGTGTCGCAGGGTATAGACGAGCTGCCGGAGCAGGTGTCGTCGCTGCTGCGGCTGGCGACGCGCGTGCCGGGCGTGGCGCGGGCGGCGCTGGCGGGCGGGCTGTGCGCGCTGGGCGCCGCGCTCGTGCTGCTCGCCGTCACCTGCCTCATCAGGTACGCACACCGCCCCAACATTACATAGCTTTAAGAAAACTAATAAAGAACATATTATGTGCAATAAAGCTTACTATAAAGTCAATGATTATCTAGAAGATTGCACAAAGTGGGAATGAGTTGCTCGCTCCGGGAATTTGGGACCACCTTGAGATATAAGTTCTAAGGTCTCAGTATAGTTACAACGGCTGCCCCACCCTTCAAACCGAAACGCATTACAGCTTCACAGCAGAAATAGGCAGGGCGGTGCTACCTACCCGCGCGGACTCACAAGAGGTCCTACCACCAGTAATTACGCAAATTATAATTTGCGGATTTGATTTTTATTACACAATGTTATTCCTTCACTGCGGAAGTCAATCGTGAACATTTGTTGAGTACGTGTATTTCTTTAGAAAAATTGGTACCCGCCTGCGGGATTCGAACACCGGTGCATCGCTCAACACGAATGCACCGGACGTCTTATCCGTTAGGCCACGACGACTTAAATTTAGATTTATTTCGTTAAATTTTCAGTAATTTAGCCGTGTTGTTTTTTATTTTCACAGATCGTCTCACAGACAAAGCACTCTCAGGCTGGAGGCTCACGTTGTCGCGAAGCCGCCTCCACCCAAAACACCGAGCAAAGAAAGCGCCTACGAACTGAACAGCCGGAGATAATATAGATAAACAAAATGTTATTAACATATTATATAGATAATATAGATAAGGATTTTCTTTTCAAACTCACTAGAAACAAATCGGAAAATTCTGTTCTTCAAGGATTATTTTAAAGGAGGGTAGTCTTTAAATGTTCGAATTCATTTTTTTTTACCAAAAAATAAAAAAAAAGCGTTAAAGTTGTCTACCATCAAATTTAATTTGTCATCAACAGGATTTCCAGCATAAGTTGGTTTAACCAGGAAATATTTTATTATTCCAGGACATTTTGTAAAATTTCACAGGTAAAATTTTATTTTCATATTATATCTACCTGGTATTAGCAGTTCCAGAGAATTTAGTTAAACAGCACATAGTAAGGATTAATAAATAATAAATGGGAATTGGTGCGTCCCTAGTTTTTAGATTTCTTCTTCGAATATTTATTTCGATCCTCTGTAAAATGAATACAACTTGTGCAGAGAAAAAAGCCCGTTGGGCTAAATTTAAATAAATAGTGTGTAGCGGAATAGAATTTGAAACTTTTCCATCAGCGATAGGTTTTCATTAAATTACGGTCACGGGGTCTGCCATTACGACGAATCGATTTTTAAGGGCACAAAAAGTATCGAATACTATTTTATGATTATTTTTAGTCGATTTTTTACCGATAGTTACTAGTCTTCACTACGCGGTCCGTCCATAAAGATATTTATAGGTTTTTATTTTTATATTACGATGTAATTTTTCAAAGTTTTTATTGGTTGCGTTATTACTTTACATGTATAGTAATGGGAATTACAAGTATTTTTACAATTGATTACAAAAATAATGGGCGATTATTTGAAAAGGTTTGAACTTAAAGTAAAGATGACGAGGGCGATGAGTTGACTAAGTTTTTGCGTCTATAATTTAAACAAAGTGATTGGGTCAGTTTTATAGTTTGTGTGACAGATTGAAAGCTCACAGAAAAATATTTTGAGGCCTTCTTTTTTTTTTATATGTTTGTCACTTTCAATTCAGTTGTTTAATTTTTAAATCAAATTTCCATTATTCCCGTTAATGTACAATGTAATAAGAACTTTGAATACTATGACTGATAAATAAAATCTGTCGATAATTTTTAAAGATATAAAAATGTCAAAGAAAACTGTCAATATTGTCTGTTTCTTAAAATCCTGAAGTATATTTTTTGAGGATTCTACTTTAAATATAGGCAATCATAGCATACCCTTAACTTTACGGGATTGCGCGAGATACATTTTATTTAGGTAGGTAAATCAATACATTCCCATAACTTCTTAATCCCACTTAAATAGGGCGGGTTTTTATTTAATTTAAAGTATTTTCAGGGTTAAAATGCCGCATATTAATACATTTTTTAAATGCATATGTGTTCGAAATGCGATATTTCATTGATTTCATTAGAAGCACGAGTCAAATTTGACTTAATTCCTTTCGTGTAGCACAGATCAGGATCACGAGGTGACAGGACGATTTTGTATTCTTCAGTGCTGCCAATTTATTGTTTGTTCAACTACAGATGTATTAATAATTATTATAACGATTATTAAGCTTTTAACATTTGAGAGAATGCACAATAACAATTTGTTATCCCATTGCTTCATGCTTAAAATGAAGTACCTATTAAATTACTTAATTTTCAAAAACTCGATAGATTCCCGCCATTTATTTATCAAGATTATTATAATTACCATGCGCTAAAAGATCGGGTATTCAATAGCCGTAAACGAATTAAAAAAATAGTGAAATATTAGTGCTCTATTAATAGCCACCTTAAATTGAAATATTTTGCGAATTGTCGTACCCGACTGCTGAAGGATGGGTGATTTTATTGTCATATGTACTGAAATATAATATAACTAAAAATGTGTGCGTGTACTAGTGTACACACGTAAGAAGTGAAACTTCTTTATGGCCTTATTTTTCGAAAAATGATCTACATGCAACTTTCTAGAAATTGGTTAAATAAAGTTAAATTAGATAAAGTTTAAACAAAAGGATTTTATTATCATAGACATGAATACAAAAAAGATGGCGCGTAACGGAAAAATGTGACGCGTAACCGAAAAATGTGACGGTAAATTTTTTTCCAACGCCGATAAAGAAGTTTCACTTCAAAAAAATGTGTGCGTGTACTAGTGTACACACGTAAGAAGTGAAACTTCTTTATGGCCTTATTTTTCGAAAAATGATCTACATGCAACTTTCTAGAAATTGGTTAAATAAAGTTAAATTAGATAAAGTTTAAACAAAAGGATTTTATTATCATAGACATGAATACAAAAAAGATGGCGCGTAACGGAAAAATGTGACGCGTAACCGAAAAATGTGACGGTAAATTTTTTTCCAACGCCGATAAAGAAGTTTCACTTCAAAAACTAAAAACAGATTCACAAAATCTTGTAATTTTAACAATAAAATTTACGATTTAATGATGCTCTGAATTTTTAAACAAAAATACTTTTTTTTCATCTAGATTCACATAATTTTTTTAGAATTTATACCTTTTTTTAAACTATTTGCTAGATAATATATTCTCTATGCATGATATTTAAAAGCATAGATTTTTACCTAAGGGAATTTAATAAAAAATATATTTTTGCAAAATATTGTATGTTTTTTCACAAATACGTATATGTTTAAAGATTGTTTTGGTGGTAGGGCATTCAATTCTTAAAAAAAGGGTTGACAATTCCGTCCTTTCATATCACAACGTGTAGGTACGTCGGTCACAATGTTATATTTTTTTTACATATATGAGAATTAAGAATTTATATAATGAATTTTGCTCAAAAAATACTTGTATGATTGCTGAATGACAAGTTTAATATATACAAATATATATATTTAGTAATGGCCTTATACATAATTAGTTGGAGTCCGATAACTCATTATGTACAAGACCGTCTTAATGGCCGCACAGCGCCGCGGCGTAGGTAAAGTTATGTTTTAATATGGCAACTGGAATTTTTGTAGGAAAACACATGGACGTTTCGAAGGAAGCATATTAATGATTTCGCTGGAATTTGTCACGCATTTAAAATTTTCTGTTAGTCCTTATATTGCATTCTTTAACATAACATCCTGTATACGTTAGGACACGTTTCGCGAACCTTCCGGCGTTGGTGTGTAATGTGCACACTCCGGTTTCAAATTTGTTTTGATTTATCGGAATTATTAGACGCTAAACATTTTGTTCGCGCCTTTTTTATTACATTTGACGTCCATGTTGTTTTCTGGTGATGTCGTAACGTAAAATTGAACTAGGGTTACTTTATAATGTAAAATATTAATAATACAATATGACTTGTAAATAAAGGTGTATGTTATAGTTGAATGTTGTTTTTTTACGTATGACCTGACGAATGCGGTGACAGATTCCCTCTCCCGTCATTTTCTGACTTGAGGGATGGAAAAGTTGTAGAATCGTCGTGGCCTAAAGGATAAGACTTCCGGTGCATTTGTATGTAGCGATGCAACGGTGTTCGAATCCCGCAGGCGGGTATCAATTTTTCTAATGAAATACGTACTTATCAAATGTTCACGATTGACTTCTACGGTGAAGAAAAAATGTCGTCTAATAAAAATCAAACCCTATGGGCTCCAGTAACCACTTAACACCAGGTGGACCGTGAGCTCGTCCACACATCTAAGCTATAAAAAAAATAAAAAAAAGTTAACGGCCAAAGCAAAATACACCACGTCCTTACGGATTCACCTGAGAAACTGACACTGTTAGACGCTTACAGCTCTAAAGTTGGGAGTAGGCGCAAAACCTCTGGTAACCGTACCTATGGAACTCTACGAGATACTTAACTTATAACATTAGCCCGCTGACGGTGAGTTTCTCGCCGAACCTTCTCAGCGAGTCGAGATTTCGATCCGGTAATAGATGCATTAGTAAAGCAACTGCCCTTGAGATATTAGGTCTCATTCGGAGTACGTGTTTTCCAAAGTTACCAATTTCGGGTCTGGTATCACTATATCACGTCAGTTAGGAATATTAAAGTGCCTTATTCACCATCCATCTTGCTGTACGTCCCGCCAAGGCCATGCACGATGCACGATGCATTTAGCGCTTTATTCACGATCCATCACGGCTGTACGTCAGCTCAAGGCCGCAATTAATAATAATTATCGACGTACGTCAAGCCTATTCACGATCCTTTTGCATCGTGCATCGTGCATGGCCTTGGCGGGACGTACAGCAAGATGGATGGTGAATAAGGCACTTAAAGCTAAAATTTCAGTTCTTAAGCGCCTTATTCACGATCCATCTTGCTGTACGTCCCGCCAAGGCCATGCACGATGCACGATGCATTTAGCGCTTTATTCACGATCCATCACGGCTGTACGTCAGCTCAAGGCCGCAAGCGCGAACAGTATAAATCGAACGAATTAAATGAGAGGGTTTTAATTTATTTAAAATGCCAGCTGTTTTATCAAAACGCCAAAAATGGGAGTCCTTCTGATGTTGTCAGCTGCAGCAGCAGAAGAGAGGCAAAAAATAGCAAGAGGTTTTGGATGATTTTTTTAAACGTGCAGAGTATACTCAAATAATTAATATCATTTTTTACGCACGCTATCAATCCTTGCAGCTTCCCCTAAAATGGACCTAAAAAATTGTAATACGTTTATTATTTTTTGTTTATTCATATAGTCTGCGCTTGAGACATTCCACAAACATGTGGAACTTATATCTTTCAATAAATCTTGAAAGTGTTTCACGATCCATTTTGACGTGCAGTCTCCTCTCGAAGCAACCTCTAAATGTTAAATTTGCTGTACAGCAATTCTACACACGATCAAGCACGCACGACCATAGATTATACACTTAATATATTTGAGACGACGCAGGACCGCTCTGACGTACGTCAGCGTTATTCGCTGTCTATCTGCACGACGTTCGCGGTGGTGGGGGCACTCGCTGGACGCAAAATCGGTCGTGCAAATCCAGCAAACAATTAATAATAATTATCGACGTACGTCAAGCCTATTCATGATCGTTTTGCATCGTGCATCGTGCATGGCCTTGGCGGGACGTACAGCAAGATGGATCGTGAATAAGGCGCTTTAATCAACTATCGCAAACACTGTCTCTTAAAATTGTCAAAAAGAATCTTTTAAAATTGTAACATGAAACAGCTTTTTAAATTTAATTTAATTGACTCACCACATATATCAATGTTTAATTTAACTTAGGTAATTACTATGCGTTGCGTTTAAATTGAATGAGCAATCTCATATACCTATACATATTTTTTTTCAATTATATTATTGAGTGCAAATTTTACTTGTTTCACTTTTGGCGGGCTTTCTATCTCTACCACAGACTATAACACTGTATCCTGGGAATACTGGTCGTGGCTGTACGCCTACGATCTCTCATATTTAATAGTTTTTTTCTCTATTACGGATCCATCAGATCCAATAAGCTTTGCATTAGACGCCTTCAGCTCTAACACTAGGAGCAGGCTTAGGGACCTCGGTAACCGTACTCGTCGAACTCGACAAATAGGTCGACGTACAACCTAACCCAGACATCAGCCCGCTGGTATTCTCGCCGGATCTCAGCGGATCGCGATTCCGATCCGGTAGTAGATTCATTCGCGAAGCAATTGCTCTTGAGTTGTTATTAGGTCTCCTTCGGAGCAGCTCGGGCAGTTGTTAGAAAATCCCACCCCCGCTGGCTGAGCCTTTGCTCCTGTCCTGGTGACACTGGAAAAGTCTCCGGGCCACCAGTAATCGTTCAATCATAAAAAAAAATAATTACAGATTCCAGGCGCCCCCGAACCGGGAACCAGCGCTACACTATAAACACGAGCCCTCACTAGGCCTCCTCTCTTTGTGCGTGGTGGTTCTTGTTGAAACTTGTTGCGTGGATTGAAATCATTTTGTTAGATTTTTTGCAGTATTTAGTAAAGTATATTTAGGCTAGCTCTGTGTAATTTCTTCTTTTTTTAAACCATCTTACTTCTGTTCGATAAAAATACCTTATTTGCATTAAGCTGCGATGTAAAAACAAAATTCAGTTAGATAAATTGTTAAATAAATACAACAAATATTATTCCTAATAATTTAATTACTTCCTGTTTTAGTTAAACATAACGATTACTTTTTAATAAATTAAACCTTAATTAGTGTATTCGTACAATTACATAAAAAAATATTTTTCAATGCCTTAAGCAAATATTATTCAGATTGTTTCTTAAGCTTTAAACGAATTTCGTCACGAGATTTTCGAGAGAAGCATCAATTGCACATTAGAGTCGCGGCTACATAGCCCGGAGCGCGAGGTGACTCCGCGACAGTATCCCCGTGCCAGCTCGCGGCACGCTCACTTTTCAAAATGACGTCTAGACCTGTCAAACGTCACTTTTGTGCGCACAGCGGTGTCTTTTGAGTCCGCTGCTTTGTGTGAAGTGACTGTGACATAGCTCGCAGCTATATGGCCTGAGCCCTGTGTGCGTCCGCATGTGCAACTTCAAGTTGCCGTTCACGGAAAACTCTTTATTGCATATCGTGCACGAAAACGGCTTAACGTCGGAGTGGACGCGCATGTGCTTGGACAGGTTCCCGATCTGCTTGTTGCATATCCGGCACGTGTACGCCTTGACCCCGGAGTGGATGCGCAGGTGCCGCTTGAGCTGGCCCGTCTCGCGGAAACAGCGCTTGCAGATCTCGCAGGAGTACGGCTTCTCCTCCGTGTGGATCCTCAAGTGGATTTTCAAGTAACCGTTATCGGCGAACGGTTTCTTGCAAACATTACACGTGTACGGCTTCTCGCCGGTGTGCGTGCGCTGGTGCAGCTTGAAGCTGGTCATCTGCGCGAACTGGCGGCCGCAGAAGTCGCAGGAGTAGGGCTTGAGGCCGGTGTGCACGCGCATGTGCACCTTGAGGGTCGTGTAGGCGGCGAAGCTGCGCTGGCAGAGGTCGCAGGAGTAGGGGCGCGCGCCGCTGTGCTGGCGCTCGTGGACGCGCAGGTAGCTCTTGCTGGAGAAGTGCTTGTGGCAGACGGCGCAGGCGTGCGGGCGCAGCTGGTGGTGCAGCACGCGGATGTGGCGGCGCAGGTGCGTGCGCTGCGGGAAGCCGCGCCCGCACACGTCGCACACGTGCGGCCGCTCGCCCGTGTGCGTGTACACGTGCGACTTGAGCGTCTGGTTGTGGCCGAACGACTTGCTGCAGATGTCGCACGTGAACTTCTTCTCGCCGGTGTGCGTCTTCAGGTGCTCCTTGAGGCCCTTCTTGCGGCGGAACACCTTGGAGCAGACGTCGCAGGAGAAGTCCCGCTCGTAGTGCGCGTGCAGGTGCTGCTTGAGCAGGCGCGGCTTGTCGAACACCTCGGGGCAGGCGTTGCAGGGGAAGCCGCCGTCCACGGCGTGCGTGTCGGCGATGTGGCGCGTGAGCTGCTTGTGGCCGGGCAGCTTGGTGCCGCACAGGTGGCAGGCCAGCGTGCCCTCGCCGCGGTGCAGCCTCGTGTGCACCTCCAGGGACCCCTTGTACGTGAACCTCTTCTCGCATATCTCGCACGAATACTTTTTCGGTTTCACCTTTCCGCAGTTTCGTTTTAGATCTGTAATAATAAAATATAAAGTGGGCAACGTTAGTTCGCGAGATTAACAACGCTCTCGATCACGAATAAACATTAAACTCGTACGAAGCGGATGGCGGAAGCGAGAAATAGGCGGGGTGGTAGTACCTACCCGTGCGGAATCACAAGACGTCCTACGACCAGTAATGTGATGGTAGGACGTCGAGGTAAAACTGTTCAGGACTGACTTCCACGGTGAAGGAATAACATCGTGTAGTAAAAATCAAACCCGCAAAATTATAATTTGCGTAATTACTGGTGGTAGGACGTGGCTAGTCATAGTTGCGAGTGGTAGCCCGTGGGGACTCCACCGGCATGTCCATGAGTATCAACTAGAAGGGAAGGGAGGGAATATATACATGAGGCCTCAAACGTCACAAGCGTCTGTACTCTCCGGGATCCAGTTAATTACAAGGCAATGCACGATACAACAATCAAACTTACCTTCTATTTTAGCAGGTTCTTTGTCTTCCGAATCAGCGGGGTCGGTCTGTCTGTTCGTTTTAATGCTCTGCAACACCGATAGGGGAGTGTCTTCAAAATCAGAAGAGTGATCTTGGGCCGCATCAAATTGTTTTTCATCGTCTACAAATTAATGAGATATTTTATTGTATTAAACATTTGTTACTGGTGAATGGAGAAGTGTTCCGGGCGTCCTCCAGGCCACGACGATACCAAATCATTCAAAATGAAGGAGACACAAAAAAAATTCTTTTCTCGAGGGCTCATTCAGACATCTCATAAGAGAGAGTATCAGTGAAATAATGTCATGAAGGAGTATTTGAGACATTCCATTCTAAAATTGTTTTTCATCCATAAACTTTAGTCTCACCTTCAAATTTGGAGTCTGAGTGGTCATTGTGGGTTTTTTCATTTGCTAAACATTCCGATTTGAACTCTAGAAAAAAATATTTTTTTTTTTAATTATTATATAGTCTGTATATTTCATTACACAATAAATTAGAGAATCCAAGCATTATATAAATATAACAGTATGTTGAAGGCAGGCTTCTTTCAAAAACTTCATTTCTTTCATCAAAGTATAAATTCTTAGTAAAAAAATATATAAGGATTTCTTCTTCTTCTTTATCTCCACCTTATCCCACTAGGTGGGGTCAGCACAGCGAATTTTTTTGTTCCATTCTCCTCTATTAGCCGTCATCTCAACACTCACTTCTCTTTCTCTCATATCGTCATTCACAAACTCCAACCATGTCTTTCTTCAGTTAACCTCTTCCCCCACTACCTTGCTAGTGCAAGGTATGCATCTCCTCTAAAGTGTGTGAATCAAAAAATATATATAAATAATAATGATAATAATAAATCTAAGTCTATAAATACATCTATTACATAGGCGGCACTGAAAATTTCGGGAATTAACGAAGTGACACAACATTACTATTTAAAAATGTATTTATTGCTTTTCGAAGTATTCTCCGCGAAATTTGACACATTTTTCCATACGATGGAACCAATCATTGAAGCAACCATTCCATTCGGAAGTTGGGGTCTCCAAAATGGCCGTTTTGTAGGCGTCCACAGCTTCTTCAGGTGATGAAAATCTCTGTCCACGCAATTTATTCTTTATTTTAGGGAAAGTATAGAAATCATTAGGGCTTAGGTCGGGGCTGTACGGCGGATGGTCTAATAATTCTATGTTTTCTTGCTCTAAAAACTCTTTTGTTCTGTGCGCGGTGTGAGAACTCGCATTGTCGTGATGGAGGATGATGCGGCGGTTGCAGTTCTCTTTACGGAGTTCAGAAACGACCTGTGGCAAACAAATGCTAGCATACCATTCTGCATTAACCGTTCTTTGTCCCTCAAGAGGAATAGTCGTAACATGGCCGGTTTTGGAGACAAACGTGGCCACCATTTTTTTTGCAACACTCCGTGAACGAACAATTTTTGTTGGCTTTAACTCATTTTCGAACACCCAAACTCGTGACTGGTTTTTTGTTTCGGGTTCGTACGCGTATATCCAGGATTCGTCACCTGATACAATGTTGTATACAGCATTTGAGGATCCTGCGTGGAATCTTTCGAGAGTTCTGACGCACCAAGTAACGCGAGCCGCTTTTTGCTCTTCACAGAGCGAATGCGGTATCCATCGGGAAAACAACTTTTTTACACCTAATTGTTCATGCAAGATTATTTGTATTTGACTCATGCCAATGTCTAAAGTTGCCTGAATTTCGCGGTATGTCACATGTCGATCTTCCTCAATCAGCTTACGCACAGCATCAACGTTTTCTTGGGTGACTGCAGTTTTTGGACGACCTTGACGGGGATCATCACTGAGCTTGACACGTCCACGTTGAAACTCAGCAAACCAGCCATAAATTGTGGTTTTGGATGGGGCTTCATCACCAAATGCAGAAATCATCCGGTCAACACACTGTTTTTGTGTTAAACCACTTCGAAAGTCATAATAAATCATCGCTCTTGAATTTTCTCGAGTCAATTCCATTTTCTCAACGACTAAACAAGTTTGACAAAACCGAGAATCTTTTTTTAAATAAATAAATGGTATTCGATTTTTAAAACCAAGGAGTTTTCAATTAAAAAGATTTTAATATGACAGGAACAGTGGAAATATTCCATTCCCGATACTTTTAGTGCAGCCCTCGTATGTATATACATTCGGTTCCCTCTGTATTTTGTACCGCATGTTCCATGGGGAGTGCTCTGAGGAATTGTTTGAGATGATACCAACGTCTCGTTTTTACCATCGCACCGCCCGCCCACCGGAGTAGAGTTCATCCATACTACCTGGAGCCACTGCGGTCATCCACAGTGTGTTTTCAGAGATCTTTTTTGCCACGTACCATCCGGCTATGGAATGAGCTCCCCTCCACGGTGTTTCCCGAGCGCTATGACATGTCCTTCAAACGAGGCTTATGGAGAGTATTATGTGGTAGACAGCGGATTGGCTCTGCCCCTGACATTGCTGAAGTCCATTGGCGACGGTAACCACTCACCATCAGGTGGGCCGTATGCTCGTCTGCCTACAAAGGCAATAAAAAAAAAAAAAACAAAAAAAACATACCTAAAGGAATTTAAATCTATGCAAATAATTTTTTTTATAATAAAAATGCAGTACATGACTAGTGGTAGTTATCTAATTCAATCATATGAACACCTCTGTGCTACAGAGTAACAAGTGTTGATTGATATTCAATGAAATTAAGATCTAATCTCACGAGAAATTTTTCTATCTATCCTCCTCCTCGAGTCGTGTTCCTCATGTCTGAGGGTCGTGACCACCATCACCCATTTCTATCTATAAACCAACTTAATTACATATACAATTTTTATTATAAAATATTTCTGTTTAAAACAATTATTTAAAAATCCAAAAATGAAAAGGCCAAACACCGTAGAATAACTTTTTTACTGCATTATGCCATTTTTCCGAAGCCATTCATAACAGGTCTACTAAAATTATTAAATGTTTATTTTATTAAATTACAATAATTTACCTTCACATTCTGTACTTTCGTTTTCTTTTTTTATCAATTCATCAAAATTTTGGAGATCTGTAAGACAGAAGATCTTTGTTATTTGAAACCCTATTATAACCTGAATGTTTCTGTTTTTTACACTGCTGCATGTCCTGGATGCAGTAAAACAAATGGTCAACTTCTATAATTTTAGATGCTTAATAACCTTTACTCCAATGAGAAAACAGGAAGGGTATAATCAAACACCTATACACAATTTCTTTCGTAACATCAAATTAAATAATATAGTGCAAAAAAAAACATACTTCTCTAATCTTATATATAATATAGTCATGAAATGCAGATACTCTATTATACATACCTTTATAATCCAGAATGCGGTAAAAATTAAGCTCACACTCCTGCACTTGTCTTTTGAACTGTGCAGCATCTAAGAGTCTAGTTTCGCATCTTCTACAAATGCAATATGCATCTAGGCTGTCGGAATTTTTAGTCACCTGTAACGTTAAATGAGTCTCCATTGAGATGCCATTAAAATTAGAACTATTCTAGCCTTCAAACCTCAACTTTTCAGTGCTCTATGACAGAAATATGTAGGTCCTGCCTGAGAGCAGCTGGAATAGCCCATTAAGCTGCTGGTGAATAGATAGGGAAAAAAATTAAATAGGGTGGTGGCGGATGCCTATGTCTGGAAGAATAAGCAATCAAAACTCTTAGGCAGCACCGCTCACTGAGTATTAAACTAGCATATTGCAATCACTAATTCACATTTAAAGGTGGTAGAATGTAATGTACAAATACTTAGATAAGTATCACCTTGCCTTTTTTTTATTACCCTTGTAGGCAGACGAGCATACGGCGCACCTGATGGTGAGTGGTTACCGTCGTCCATGGACTTCAGCAATGCCAGGGGCAGAGCCAAGCCACTGTCTACCGCTTAATACCTTGCCTGTCCCTATAGGAATACTTCCTAAGGCATTTTTGTTGTGATATCATGGGCTGAGCTGCCTAATACTAACTATATGGGCCGTGAACTCGTGAACCCATCTAAGAAATAAAATTAAGAAATTTTAATACAAGTATTTTAGATATTTAGTATGAGAACTAGATTTGAAATTAAAGTTCAATCTATCTTGCTGCCGAAGCAGCTAGCTGTGGTCAATAAACAGGAAAAACTTTCGAAACCATTATTACTTTTAAAATTGCGTGAAAATATTAAAAATAAAAAGATTATGTAGTGTTCTGTTTACTAATTATTCTTTCATATCGCTGCCTTAAATATGATGAGGGAATACTTACGTTTAATTCAAAAGTATTGAGCAATATCTCTGAATACATTTCAGTTTTCCCTTCATATGTGTGCGGTGCAGTGAGGGTTTTGAAATTACCTTTCGAATGACAACAACGACAAAGGCCAAACCCGTTCCAACTACTAGACATATTGCAAATGAATTTTCAGTTCATGTCAATGTAAATTTATATCATTTTAATTTATTTTTCCTTGAAAATTAGATTAATAAGTTTGGCGAATTTATGTTTACGAAATCAGACTTTTTTAATTTTCACGGTCTGATGATCAAATGAAATATATTTTAAGCATAAAGATATCTCTATATCTATCTCGTTCAAACATTCTATGCCTCGAAAGAGTAGGTAAAAATACAACAAATAGGTAAGACTTTGGAGTGAGCTCCCCTTCACAGTGTTTCCCAAGCGCTATGATATGTTCTTCTAACGAGGCTTTTGGAGAGTATTAATAATTCAACGGTAGGCAGCGACTTGGCTCTGCCCCTTACATTGCTGACATCCATGAGCGATAGTAACCACTCATCATCATGTGGGCCGTATGCTGGTCTGCATACACGAGCATTTAAAAAAAATAAAAAGTAAAGGACATAAAACTGAACAATAAAGAAACATTAGGTACTCTTATTTAATGTTTTTAATAACTTAAATTATGGAATCCTTAAGTGTCATTAAAGTTTTACAATTTTTTTAAATTTACTTTTCATGTAATTACAAAAGGAGCAATAATAATTAGGAGGTAAGCCACCTTCTTATTTTTTAAGAGACCTATTGTACTTTACCAAAATGACCTATTTTTTTCTTTCCAAATTTTTTTTGTAGCCTCGAAGCTATCCGAGTCCTGGGCTTTTACTAAATTAAAAAAGTAAAAATAAACTTCAATTAAGTGACACTGACATTACTAGCTCTTGTTTGACAAGTAAAGTTGAAAAATGGCGATCGTCAAAAATAAGAAGATCCTAAGCAAAAATCGATTTTTAATATTTACACGTTTTTTATAGTTTTTGTCTTGAAAAATGCCTGAAACCATAATCGAAAGTGTCCTAAGAGGAAATTTAGACGTAGGCTTATTAGTTAAATGGCTCAACGACGAATCAATCGAGGTGAAAACAAAATAACCTGCAATTTTTCAAAAGTTATTCAAACAAAATTAATAAAATTTTAAAAATTTCAGGAAACTGAAGATTGTGTATTAAATTGCTGTGATAAAAATGAGTTTGTGTCCTATTTCTTGGCTTATTTGAGGAACCAAACGGACAGGTACTTTGCAGTTTTATCATTATTTAATTTAGAAAACAAACTGTTCTTTCAGTAGTAATTTAATTGATAATTATTTCAGTTAGCTTATTAATTTCAATTTTACAACCGGTATTAAATTTGTTTCATTTTATGACAATGTGTTTAATTTTATTCATAGAATTTATTTCTCATCAAACCTATTAAAAAGTAATGAAAGAGTATCAAATGAACAATTATACTACTTAGTGTTAGTTTAAAAATTGGGCAATAAAGAAAAAAAAATAGGCTGAATATTTCCGTGAGTGATGGCAACCACTTAAGATTAGGTGGGATCTCTGCTAGGCAGTTAAAATATGTTTTTTTTTTTTCCATTTTTACAATTATACAACCAAGTGTAGGTTCCACGTGTTTGAATGGACTTGAATTGCTTAAATATACCTTAAGTCCATGAATAGAATAGTCAAGAGATCAATCTTGGCAGCACCTGACTCATGGTCGGAATATTACAATGAGAATGCTGTTACATAGATTTTCTCACGCAGTACCAAAGCCTGGATCATTTTGATAACAACTTGGAAACTGTCACTGAACTTTAATCAGAAATCTTAATTAAGCTTTGGAAAAAGCCACTAACATTAAATGCCTTCAAGATTAGACCAAATAAGTTTTTATCAAGTGAAACACTGAAATCTTAACTTTATTTCACTAAACTGGAATTCATAAATTCTATTCAGAAAAAATATGTGATACTTCAGAAGTACGCAAGATAAGTGGTTCCTATATGTACAGGCTTCACAATAACTTAATTTTTTTTGGTGAGTTTTACCTTAAAATACAAAGTAAGATAGAATTATAAGAAATACAAAATCAAAGTGATATATATTTCTTATCTATATAATAATATCTTTGTATGTACAGTCAAACCTGGGTAAGTGAGAACTGGATAAGTGAGAAAACTCTATAAGTGAGAGTAATAGCCAGGACCCGTCATTTTAAGCTCCTAAAACCTCTATTAGAGAGAAACAGAAACCTCTGTAAGTGAGACTGCTACTTATCTATACCTCTATAAGCGACAGTCGAGCTTTATTTATTTATATTATTTATGAGGAACAAATGAAAAAACAAATTACAAATTTAACATCTGCTATTTTATGACTCATTCTTAACTTTTGTGGAACTTCCTACCATTGTTTTTGAATTGTTTTCTCGTCAATATTGAACCTATTCTATTTCGTGGAACTAAATAACATTGTTATTTTATCGCATTATTTTCGAATGGACACGTGTGCCTGTGTACCGTCCTGTTTGTCGGACTTACTCAGTTTATCGTTAATCAATTGCGAAGAAAAGTTCTGTTCTGCATCATGTCAAAACGGAAAATTAAAGTACTGTCATTAAGTGATAAACTTAAATAGTGAATGCGTTTGAATCCGGAAAATCGCGAAATGAAATTCAGAGGGAGCATTAGCGAGAAACTCGGGTTAGTGAGAAACCTCTATAAGCGAGAGTGAGATTGTGCTCCCTTGAACTCTCTCTTATCCAAGTTTGACTGTATTTGTATGTATGTATCTATGTATTTGTTTTGGCAATGTAATTTATTACCTGGTATTCATTTTACTGATGTCTACTGTAATTCTTTAAATTATCGCCATGTATTAACTTCTTCACAGCTACGCACTTCTTGAATCTTTCAATTCATCAACGAGGGTTAACTGGAAGAGAATGCCTGCATGGCGTTAAGTTCGCCCCTGTACAATATTTTGTGCAATAAAGAATTTTCATTTCATTTCATTTCAAAGTGTGCTACCGAGTGAGTGACATACGTTTGATATTTCAATTTATTTCAGTATCACACAAACGAACAGCAGTGCAACACAATTACTACAGCACAGCACACCAGAACAGCTCTTCAGCTCGCAAAGGAAGCACCATCGTTCAATCAGCGATCCGACTAGTGAGGATCGATCAAAGGATAGCCTGTCAGTAAAGTCCGAGAAACACAGTAGCCATGAATCACCTAACAGAGACAGAAAAAGAGGAAAAAAAGTCAAGACGAAACTCTTCCCTGAAGATCGAAACCTATCAATATCTTCAGATGAATCTAAGCTTTGCATCGGTGTTGAGAGGCTCGTCTTGTCGAGTACACCCTTAAAGAATGGTCCGAATCATATGGAAAACTCAAATCTACTTAGTCCGGTAACACCTAGGTGCGATACGCCCAGAATCAACTACAAATCTAGGTCGCACGAGAAATGTCTAGGCGATTTCATGATAAACATCAAAAGTGCAAAGAAAAAAAAACCTAAAGAGCCTGAACCGAAAATAGAATTAGATCTGAGTAGTTCTGAGTTCCCAGAAATAGGTGCCAGAAAAGCCAGCTCATTAAGATCTGAGAAACGTAGGATTAAGCCAACGAATATAGATAAGAATTCCCAGAAAAGTTGCTCATTCAACAGCTTCACCGAATTCCAAAGACCGTCACCAATGGCTCTAGAGGACAACGCTTTGTTCCAACCTCAAAAGTTGCAGCCAAAAGAGGCTTCGAGCACCTTTGATGCTGAAAGAAACATACTGAAGCAAGAGAGACACAAGCTAATGGAGAAATTCAATATTTTAAACACAAATTTAACTTCTACACAAAGAATTATGCCACAAATCAAAGTAACGCAAAAAGAATTTGAAAAGAGCAAAACAATTACTATGACGGATGTCTCTAATGTTTTATTCAAAGAGAAAATTGACGAAATAGTTCTTATTTATGAGGTTATAATGAAAAACAATTTAATATTAAGCATTAACAAAGAAATTTATTTTTTAATAACTATATTGATATCTAAGCAGTACGACGAAGAGTGTACCTATGCCGAAAGCAAATTGAGAGACAATGATTTTGAATATTTACTCCAAAGTGTTCATAATGCAACATATTTTGCTGTAAAATCATTGTGGCTTAATCGTTTTGTGCTAGAAGTTATTTTGGATAAAAATTCATTAAAAACATTGGGTGAGTTATTTCATTATTGTAACTTCAGTTGTAATTTGAATATCTGGTCATTAGCAGACACAGGAATAAACCGGTACATTAACTTTAATGTTATGTGTGATATATAGTGAACTGGTTTAATGAAGAAGTTACAGATTCCTCAAGGCTGTATATCCCATGTCATGTGTTATCGGTAGCTCTTACAGAACTATATATGTCAGGATTCTTATTCACTTTGCATTCTATAAATTATTTGTATCGGTTTGATTAATAAGTTTTAAGGACTGTTGGCACAGTTGCGACTTCTTGTCATGTATCAATGGGGACATTGACATCGTCATTATACTTCTCACTGATTAATTGATAAATTGAATCTGCAGGTCCACCTCTAACTGCTTTTGTCCATGTTTTTTATTGCTATATCAGCTTTGTTGATCGTATTATACAACGTAGTCATAAACAAAAATCCTATTCCATTGGCGATTTCAGGGGAAAACAAGAATGTGAGAAATTTTTATCCAGATCTAGCTAAGTTTCTGCTGAATTGCTACGGACTGAGGTGCGAAGCGGAGGCCAATCAGGTAAACAGGTGCATTTTTTATAATTAAATGTGGTCCTGGGGCCCGTGGGCATCACAACGTGAGTACAGCGCTCATCGGGTTTGGTGGGACTCTCAGTTGCACCATTAATCCACATAAAACTAAATCGCATCACCGGCTCTCCAGATATAGATGCAATAAAGAATTAGTTTATATTTACATTTAACTGGGGAAATACAATATTACTGTCCTATTAAATAAATTATCAATTACATCTAATTATGAATTCGATTTATTCACTTCAAAAGCTTTGTCACTATTGACGGCTGTCAAATTTGACATGTGTCAATGTCGCTCGAGTAATGCGTCGTGTTGCAGGAGCGACCGCGGGCGCAGGACGCGCGTCCGTCGAACGGCGTCATATGTTTCAATTCCGAGACGGACAACGCCGACAACTTTCCGAGCGCGCTGAGCTTTCAGAACTTCAAAAAGCAGAGGGACATGTTCTACGAGGCCTTGAGGTCAGTCCTCCACTTTATCCCACTAAGTGGGGTCAGCACAGCGAATTTTTCTCTTCCATTCTTTTCTATCAGCCGTCATCTCTCTCTCTCTCTCTCTCATATCGTCATTCACACACTCCATCCATATCTTCTTCGATCGACCTCTTCTCCCTTCACCTTGCATTTCCATTTCCATACAAGGTCAGTCCGCGGCTGTTTAATGTTTATATATAAACGACAGTTTCAGTTTTTACCGTTAAGTGGATCTCAGGGGTTGGTTAGTGTTGCACTGGCGAAACTTAAATGTTAAGAAATATATTTTATAAAAATATAGAGGGTAGTTAGCATAAGATCCAATAGTCGAGGCATCCGTAACAGATACTGGATGAGTATTGCATCGACAGAGACGTAAGTCAGTAGTCGCGTGGCGGCGCCGTTCGAGGGACCGCGGGCATCACAGAGTTTGTACTTGTATGCAGGTGGTACGGACAGGAGGGCGCGGTGCGGGCGCGCGCCCGGGGCTGCGTGGCGGGCGGGGGCGGCGCGCCGGACAACTGCAAGCACCTGGCCGCGCTGCTGCTGCGGCACATGCTGGCCTCCTGTCTGCCCGGCAGCGACGGACTCTCCCAGGTGGGCGGTTGGGAACGTGCCTGTATCCTTTACTGCTGACACGCCCCTATTTTCTTGCTCAGTCAGTATTTTCAGTGGCAAGCAGTAAACCATAGTTCCTAATAGCTTCAGTCCATTTTCGATCTCCGTCGTGACAACAAGTTTGTTGTTTTAAGTCGAAAATTGTATCCTTCTATAAACCGACAATTAATTACGTGGTAGGACACTGGTGGTAGGGCCTCGTGAGTCCGCACGGGTAGGTACAACCACCCTGTCTATTTCTGCCGTGAAGCAGTAATGCGTTTCGGTTTGAAGGGTGGTGTAGCCGTTGTAACTATACTGAGACCTTAGAACTTAATATATCTCAAGGTGGGTGGCGCATTTACATTGTAGATGTCTATGGGCTCCAGTAACCACTTAACACCAGGTGGGCTATGAGCTCATCCACCCATCTAAACAATAAAAAAATATATATTACAAAGTCAATAAATCATATTTTGTGGAATCTTCTTTTTTTTTAAAAGGGAAAATCCCGATTCCTTATAGCAGTACGAATATAATTGTGGTACGAACGAGTGAGTGGAGTGTTTGTTTGCGCAGGAGTCGAAGCTGAGCAAGCTGCAGCGGCGGCTGACGTGCCCCAACGCGCCGGACCCGCACCGCCTGCCGCACTTCACGCCCGCAGAGATGTTCTACAAGTGAGTGCCGCCGCCCCCACCGACCTCCTTACTCACAGTGGCAGCCGGCTTGCCAGACCACCACGTGCGCCGTACTGTGGGTAGCAGCCGGTAGGACGTGACCCAACGCAACGACTGTTTGGGCATGAAGCTGTCCTGTGCTTCCATCTAAAGGATGGGGCCGCCGTTGCACTCTTAAGTGTTAAGTGAGAGTTTTATAACGTTCTCGATCGCGTAAAAGTTAATTCAAATTTGTATTTTGTATTGTAAAATTTGTATTTTTGTGTAAAGTCAGTTTGTATGGAGTTGGAACAGCTGCCCTTCGTTTGCCGCTAGGGGCGCTGTTCCAACTCCATACAAACTCACACTAAGCACACAGACCCCGGTGCCAATTTCCGACTTCAATATTGGCAGCGGCATTCGCGTGGAATTAAATTGTTTTTTTTTTTGAAGTGAAACTTCTTTATCGGCGTTGGAAAAAAATTTACCGTCACATTTTTCGGTTACGCGTCACATTTTTCCGTTACGCGCCATCTTTTTTGTATTCATGTCTATGATAATAAAATCCTTTTGTTTAAACTTTATCTAATTTAACTTTATTTAACCAATTTCTAGAAAGTTGCATGTAGATCATTTTTCGAAAAATAAGGCCATAAAGAAGTTTCACTTCTTACGTGTGTACACTAGTACACGCACACATTTTTTTTGTTTATACAACTTTACATTTTCCTCCTGGTCACGGATGACCGTAAAGTCAGCTTTAATTCGTTGTCCCTCGTCCTGACCGCGTCCCCGTTGTTCCAGAGAGTTCATAGCGCACGCGGACGGCGACTCATTCCGCGCGCACCTGCGGGACGCGCTCGCCACCGAGCTGCGGGCGCTCGACGCCGCGCACTTCAGCCTCGACGACAACTGTGAGTGTGCAGCCGTACACTATGTTGTAGGAGCTGTCCATGGACATCATGGGCCACAACCGTACACTATATCGGTACATTATATTGGAGAAGCTGTCCATGGACATCATGACGGGTGTCGGTGATAGCTTTACGTCAGTAATGCACAGACTGATGTGTATTCGCTCACCGCGAATGTTGTGTGGGACCACGTCATTATGTCTCGCTGATAACTCGACATGAACACAACGGGCTTCTTACACATTAGCCCATGGACTTTCTATTCAAACACGCTTTATTCAAATGGTCTTCAATTAACCATGCATGCGTTGACAGTCTGTCAGCTGTGCAGTGACATTGTCAGTGGCATTCAAGGAGATCGCATTAATTTTGATCCGCAGCGAACAACGAGATATCGAAGGAGTTTTTGAAGATCTCAAAGAAGCTGTTCCTGCTGGCCAAGTTCCTGGGCTACGTGACGTCACTTCCGTACACCCAGTCGCCGGAAGCGACCAAATCCAATATGATCGTTAAGGAGACGAAGGACTATCGGTACTCGGTGCCCAAAGAGAAGGTCCTGGAGAACGACCTGTATTTGAGAAATTATGTGAGTAAAATTCTCTAGCTGTATATATTACTAGCTGTATCCGCCCGCTTCGCTGGGCATTTAAAATTAACATTATTATTTCTCACTCCCGCAAAGATTCTCATCATTAACGCCCCCGCAACTGGTGTAGGGAGTCCAACACTCATATAAGTATTAGCCTATGCATTAAGTACATGTATTTTATACATGGATACCAAGTTTCAAGTCAATCGGATGCATGGTTCAGTAGTTATAAAGAAACATCCGTAAAACCACTGTAGATTTATATATTAGTATAGTTTTTTTTTTTTTTTTTTATTGCTTAGATGTGTGGACGAGCTCACAGCCCACCTGGTGTTAAGTGGTTACTGGAGCCCATAGACATCTACAACGTAAATGCGCCACCCACCTCGAGATATAAGTTCTAAGGTCTCAATATAGTTACAACGGCTGCCCCACCCTTCGAACCGAAACGCATTACTGCTTCACGGCAGAAATAGGCGGGGTGGTGGTACCTAGCCGTGCGGACTCCCAAGAGGTCCTACTACCAGTGATTACGCAAATTATAATATATTTTGTGGGTTTGATTTTTATTACACGATGATATTCCTTCACCGTGGAAGTCAATCGTGAACATTAAAATTTGTTGAGTACGTATTTCATTAGAAAAATTGGTACCCGCTTGCGGTATTACGGTATAGTCATGATTAAAAAAAAATGTGTGCGTGTACTAGTGTACACACGTAAGAAGTGAAACTTCTTTATGGCCTTATTTTTCGAAAAATGATCTACATGCAACTTTCTAGAAATTGGTTAAATAAAGTTAAATTAGATAAAGTTTAAACAAAAGGATTTTATTATCATAGACATGAATACAAAAAAGTTAAATTAGATAAAGTTTAAACAAAAGGATTTTATTATCATAGACATGAATACAAAAAAGTTAAATTAGATAAAGTTTAAACAAAAGGATTTTATTATCATAGACATGAATACAAAAAAGATGGCGCGTAACGGAAAAATGTGACGCGTAACCGAAAAATGTGACGGTAAATTTTTTTCCAACGCCGATAAGGAAGTTTCACTTCAACAATTTTACGGTTCGAAGCTGAGTATTAAAATTGACTCGTGGTTCTCCGGTAGTTGAAGTTCGACTATAATTAATTGAAATTATAAGTTTGAACATTATTATGATTCTATTGTCAAAGACTATCATCATTTCTATAATAATCACAGATTTCGCCAAGACTACACTATAGACAAATAATACTAAAGATAAACAATATTAATCTATTCTCAATTTGACCACAGACTAAGCAATAAGAAAGTTTGACAATAAACAAATAGCATGCATGCATGTGTCTGTCAAATACATGGTAGTGTATGTAATTTATTAATTTATCGATTTAATGTATTTTTTATGCATAATAAAAAAAAACCGCGCCCACCGCCGCGACGCGCTACTAGGACCGCGACCTCGTGTCGGAAGGTAGCTTCTGAAGCTACTTGACCCCAAGTTGGCCTCCGCCACACGATGATGATCTTCGGCTGAACCGCCCCCCCCGCTTCCAGAGCCAACCGTCACTGGACCTGAAGGGCATGCTGACGAGGTCGTACGAGAGCGGGCGCCTGGCGCTGACGCTGCCCTGGGTCGTGCACTTCCTGTCGATGCTGGACTACGCCAGCCTCAGGACCAGATACTACCAAGAACTACTCAATTTAATTGAAGAGATAAATAAAAAGAAGTTGAACATGAAAAAGAACACGGCGGTGTACGTGAGGTCGCTGCTGGGCTGGCTGTCCGAGCTGCCGCAGTACCCGGGAGGCCGCTGCGGGGGCCCGGCGGTGGGATTGTGCGCGCCGCCCGCCGGCCCCACGCTGGACTCGTGCGACCTGGTGGACCACTCCAGCATCCAGGAGCTGTGCCCGGCGCTGCGGAGCCTGGGCGCGCTGCTGGCCACCTGCCGGGCGGAGTGCGAGCAGCGGGACAACAGCTTCCGGCACATCACCCCCGTCAGCCTCAGCCTCAACCACGAGGAACGACTGCGCAACAAGGAAAAGGAGCTGCAGGTGAGCCCGCCGGGCGTTGACACTGTCAGTGGCCGGCCCGTGAGGGAGACGTTTGCTAACATTAAAAATACATATAAGCTATTATGTTTAAAGTCTATTTTGATAATAATGTTACGCGCTGGGGTTCGGGATAAATAAAATTTAACAACAACACACTAACTTAACAACAACTAAAAAATGTATTCAACACTTAAACACTTCACAAACACTTTACAACTCTCAATTCGCTTCTCCCGCTTCGCTTCAGGTGATCCGTTCGCTGTTTCGCTTCGAATAGTTCCGATTATTGACTGACTGCGTGCCATCTCTACAACGCTTTTATAGTCGATACCTCATCCCTAGAATTATCGAGAATATTCCACACATCTCTAGTAGTAGTTTCCGCTATCTGACAATAGATGGTGTTGTACTTCTCGAGCGTTCTAGGTGCTACTAGATTCTTCGATATTCGTTCGACTATTCGGCGATAGATGGCGTTAATCTTACCGGCGTAACAATAATTTAATTCACAAATTGTAAACAGAAATTAAATTGATAACCTCATATTAGTTACCTGTGATCGCTGCTCTGTTGCCCCTCCACATCAGTTGGAACTGTCCCAGCGCGCAGCATGGCGGCCGCACGACACAGACTAACGTTATTTTTAATGAAGGTGCACAGATAATGCACTATTTGCATAGTACACATTGTTACAGTTAGGTGGCCGGAATAGTTATTAAATATATTTTGACACGAATTGTCTTTCAAACATAAGCGCGGCGATGTTCCTCCTACTCATTGCTGGTAACCTCAGTGGGTGACGCTGGCTTCACTGAATGTATTGGCGAGCTCACGGGGCTCAGCCCTGAGGGCTGCGTCACAAGTCCCAGTCGAAGGAAGTCCGGTACGCTCCTACCTCCTTAACGTTGACCGCAGCTCCGCCTCGAGGAGGAGTTCCTCAAGAGCCAGCCGTCGTCCACCCGGCGCGTGCTGGAGCTGGTCATCGAGCGCGTGACGTCGGCGTGCGTGCGCGAGCTCTCCGCCACCGTGCTGCTGCAGGCGCGCGAGCGGGCGCGGGACGACGCCAGGGCACTCCTCGGCGCCAGCCAGGGGGACGACGAGGTACGCGCCAGCGTCACGTGGCGAACCTAAAGCTGTGTCTGCTCTCTCATAGCACACTCTTATTTGGCTCATGAACCTCTGAAAATATGCAATTGTGTTGCTCACAATGAGCTTTTGGAGTTTTTGATGAGCCTTAGGGAATGTAACTGAAACTGGAAACTTTATTATGAGTGTACGACGTGTTAACCAGAAATCTTATACTAGCTAATATATAAATTAGCCACATATGACGTCATGCATTACGAGCAGCATCTAGATTGAACTGAAATAAAATTTGGTTTGATATAGTAATTGAAGTCCTTTATATTTTACAAAAATAGTTTAATACATAAATATTCTCAGTATTAGTATGGTAGTTGTAAGGTTGCGTTGCTAATGGCTTCTGGTCGGTTCGTAGACGCGGCTGGTGCAGGCGGTGCGCGCGCAGTACGCGGAGCAGGCCCGGCGAGCGCGCCCCGCCGCCCTGCAGCGCGCCCGCCGCACCGCCGCCGCCCGCTGCCGCGCCGCACTCGCCGCGCTGCTGG